CAGGTGTAGCATGACACACATCCATATCACACACACACACACACACAGAGAGAGAGAGAGAGAGAGAGAGAGAGAGAGAGACAGAGAGAGAGGATAGTTCACAGCTATCAAATCAAAATTGATAAACAGTACACAGTAGTCTTTCCATCTAATAGCAAAAAATGTAACCCAAAAATGTGATATGTATTTGAACATTAAAGAAGTGCAATGGACTTCCTGAAGAGGACAATGTGCAGTTCTCCGTGGACTGTTGTTATAGGTTGTAGGTGAAAGAAATAGAACTATTTCATTTCTCTTTGTTGAGACAAAGATAATTGAAGTTTAGGGGCCTGGCTGCCCGTGTTTGTTGACCTAAAATAGGGGAAAGGATGAGAAAAACAAGGGGTAGTTCTATTTTTTGTCTCCCTCCCAGTGGCTTCCTCCTAGGCAGCTTGGAAAGAAGGCTCCACTATCTGCCCTGAGTAATCCACTAGCCAGGTAGATTCTTCAGCAGTTTCCTACCCTCTCCTTAGTCATGCTGTAATCCATTACTTTTTGTTGAAACACTAATATGATGGCTCCCAGGCCTCTGCTTTTGTGCTTAGCACTCTCCCTTGTAACTGAGCTGCATTCTTCAACAAACTTCCTTGCTTTTCTTTTGCTAATCCATCTTTTGTCTCAGATAATTGTCTACATTATAGTGATTTTTTCTTTTTTTTAAAATTAATTTATTTTTTACATTCCAATCCCAGTTCCCCCTCCCTCCTTTCACTATGGTTATTTATTTATTTATTTATTTATTTATTTATTTATTTATTTTGGTGTTTTGACACAGGTTTTCCTCTGTAGGTTTGGAGGCTGTCCTGCTCTGTAGACCAGGCTGGGCCTCAAACTCACAGAGATCCACTGCCTCTGCCTCTGGAGTGCTGGGATTAAAAGTGTGTGCCACCACCACCCATCCCCATTATGTTTATTTTTAAAGACTGTCTTCTCTTGGTCCTCGGAGGCCAATGCAGGGAACCCTGTTCAATCAGAAGGAGGCTTGGTGACATAAAGACTTCATCACAGATTCACTAATGAGCGTTACCTTCAAGCTAAATAGTTTTTTAACAGTCTCTACTGTCACATTTGAAAAGTTCTGGGTTATTTTTTTTTTAAACCTTTTAAACATAATTTTCTCATTTCCTTGCTTTTGTTTATTGTTTTATGTGATTATTGGGTATTCACCAAAAACCAGTTCAGGTCTGACAAACATAATTCTTGAGAATTAAAGGAACATATAACTAAGTTGCTTTTTTGCATCAATACAATTCTCTGACACTTAAATTATAGCTTTAATTTTTGTTTTCAAGGATGATTTCAGAAATTATGGGATTTAAAGTAATAAAATGCAATTGTGGAACAGGGTGTCAATGTGCATGCCCTTGGCCTATAATGCTAAGAGAGGAAAGGAGAAACAGCTGAAGGACACAGCCCCTCCTCCAAGCCGGCATTCCCAGCTGAGTGTGTTCAGTTTGTCCAGGCCTTTCATTGACTGTATCTGCATCTTTACTGCCTGGCTGAGCAAGAGCACACAGAAGCCCAGACAGAATCAGTTTTCAGTTCATCTGTGAGATAGCTAATCTTGACTATCAACTTGGTGGCATTTATAATTATTGTGGAACTCATGTTCAGGAGTGAGGGAAGGAGTTTCTGCCTGAGTGTGGATGACACTTGTGTTGTGGGCTGGGGTCCCAGACTGAATAAAAATGAGAAAGCAACTTGAACAGCAGCATTCATCTCTTCTTGCTTCCTGACTACAGACATGATGTGACCAGCTGCCTCAAGCTCCTATCTCCATGCCATCACCCACCATGATGGATGTCCTTTTCATACTGTAAGCCAAAATACAAAATAAACCCTCCCTCCCTCTCCTCCTTCCTTTGCTTTTCTTTGTCAGTTTCATTTTCACAGCAACAGAAAAGTAATGAATACAATGTATTTGGAGCACTGAGTCTTTGTTTAAATATTAGTTGCCTTCTGGGCTACAGTTTCCACTTAAACATCAAGGAATTATTTCCCTATAACTAAGGTAACATATGATGTACAAAAGCATGGGAAATAGGGAAGTGTGTGTGTGGCTGAAATTATCACTTGCATGCAATTTAACTAGCTCTTTTCCCAGCAATGGTATGTCAAAATATTTAAAGTACTAAGGAATAAATTATATATCATTACTTAACAGATTTCTTTTATTGTGAATATTAAAGTGACCCTCAAATGTCTACTGTAAATGACTATTATGACGAATGATTTTGCTTCTGGATTTTTGAAAGGAATTTTATCTATAGGACAATTCAGGTTTTCCACCCTCTGATCTTATATGTGCCAAATATCATTCTCAATTCTGGCTTCTATCATATTCTTCCTGATGTGTCACTCGAGCTGCAGAATGCTGATAAAGTAGCTGTGTTTAAAACTGAGCTTTACTTAAATAATAGTACAAGAGTAATAAGGAAGAAAGAGACCTGGAGGAAGAAAGCACACATGAGGCAGGCAAGCATAGGGAATAGCATACCAACCTGGGACTCCACCTGGTTTGGGCTGTGCCTCCCCCTCTTCTAACAAGGCATTTGGGAACCTAAGACCCTCACCAGCATGTACTCTGTGCAATAGCAATCTCTGAACACAGCAACTAGCAACCTGGTGTTAGCCCTTGGCTCTCCCTGGGTGCATCAGGCTGCATGTATTTATTGTAAACAATGATTTGTTTCTTCTCTTGACAACCATCAACCAGACAGTTTCTAGTCATTCATGTATAAGGGTGGGAGGGCTGATCAGAACCGTTTGTGGTGCATGATAATAAGGCAAAACTGGCTTCTCAAGTGAACTTTTAGGAAGACTCCCTTACTTAGATCATTCCTTATGTACTTGGACGTGCATGTGATTAAAATCAGATGCATTATGGGAAGGACATACATGGCAGGAAAAATGATTTTATGATTTAATCTATCAATCAAAAGAGAGAACCACTCTAAATACACTTCCTAGTAACAGGCTTCTCCTCCTCTTCAACTCCATAAAAGGAAGCCCCAGAGAGCAGTCAGGGCCTCTGAGCTCTTTGTCACTCATGCGGTCTCTTGATTACCCACAATGCACTTGTTTCTGATCTGTGCTGTTGCTTTGCTTTTGAAGAAAGCTTCTTTGCTATCTTGCACTCTGTGTGAACCTTTACTTCAATTCTTTGGATAAAAAGCAAGAACCTAGAAATACTGGGCTCAGACTCCAACCACTGGCAACAAGCAGAGGGAATAAATATTGAAAAACAGTTGTAGAGAGCCTGGGGAGACAGTTCAAGGGTGAAGTGCCTTCCATGCAAGCACGAGAACCCACACCCACATATGAATAGCAGGGTACAGTGGCTCACACCTGCAAACCTAGCACTGAGTATGGAGTACGGAGTGGAGACAGGCAGGCAATAGTGGAGACAGGCAGGCAATTGGCTAACCAGTCTAGCCAATAATTGAACTCCCGGTTCAGTGAGAAACATATCTCAAAAACTAAGACAGAGAAAGATTGAAAACACTCAGTATCAGCCACTTTTCTCCACACTTGCGTGCACACACACACACACACACACACACACACACACACACACACACACAAACACACATGCAGAGAGAGAGGGGGGAAGGGAGAGAGAGGAAGAGAGAGAGACAGAGAGAGAGAGGTTATGTAACTTTTTGAATATATTTTCTCACAAGGACAAAAGAGGTGGCTGGGTTGAGCTGCATAACCATTTGGTTTTGCATTTCGTGACCTTACCCTCCTGCTTTCTTTCTCATCCCATCAGCTGTTCTTGCAAGCACTCTGAACAATCCATGAACCTGCCCAACCCTCTCTGAACCCTCTTGCGGGTTCAGCCCTCCTCCTGCAGTATGGCCGGTGCCTAGAAATGCAGGCTCATCTCTTGAGTCGGTTCACCCACTATCTCCTGTGTTCCGGACACAGTGCAAGGCTCTGGAAATTCACAGACAGCAAAGCAAATTCTGATGGGGTAAAGAGGATGATGAGACTGAGAGTGGGTTCGAGTCCTGACTGGGTATCTTCAGGCAGAGCTGAGGTTAATAAAGGAAAGGGTGTGTAGGTACATGAGTAAGGGAGGGTGTTTCTGACAGGGAATAGTTTTGCAGTGCCTCTGGTTGTGAGTGAGCATGGAGGAGAAATGGAGGTCAAAGGCCAGAGTGTCGAAAGCCCCAGCCCTGTGGTGTAGAGTCCTTCCCACATTTTACAACAGGAGATGCAGTTTCTATGATAGTCAATCTCCCCAGGATTTATAACAACCATGGAAACACATCCCTGGCATATGGTGAAGTCATTTTCAGAGAAGTTTGGTTGAGGAGGTAGCCAGAAGCAACCTGGGGAGAAAAGTGTTTATTTCAGCTTACAATTCTGTGATCACACTCTATCACTGAAGGAAGTCAGAGGAGGAACTCCAGGCAGGCACCTGGAGGAATGAGCAGATGCACACCCATGGAGGGTGCTGCTACTGGCTTGCTCTTCATGGCTTGCTCAGCCTGCTTTCTTGTAGTACCCAGGACCACCTGACTGGGGGTGGTCCTACATACGTGTCAATCATTAATCAAGAAAATAACCCACAGGCTTGCCTGAAGACCAGTCTGGTGGGGCATTTTCTCAGTTGTGGTTTCCTGTTCCCAAATGACTCTAGCTGTGTCAAGGTGACATAAAACTGGTACTCACAGGAGGGAAGACTCACTTTGAATGTGGCAACACCATCTCAGAGGCTGGGCTCCTGGGTAAGAGACAGCAGGAGCATTGTCTCTGCTTGTTGACTACAGGTACAGCGTGAACAGCTGCCTCACATTCCTGCCACCGTATCTCCCCCACCATGAAGGACCATATTCTTCAAGCATGCATCAGGTCACATTGACAAAGAGAGTGGCCTACAGTAGCCTCATTGTCCCCTGTGACTGCCTATTCTGTAAATTCTGCCCAAGAGCACCCAGAGTCAAGTGTTTTACCTTTTCTCATCATGTCTATAAGATGAAGAGGTCCGGCCACTGGTCCATATAAACATCTTAGAGGATGTTGGTCCCGCAGCGCCTTTCCTCACGGTGGAAGTCCGGTGGGAGTGGCAGAAAGACCTGCAGAGGACACATTGCGGTTAACTGTCAATAGCAACAGCTCAGATGATCAGCTTTCCAGAACAATCCTGGGCTTTTACATCGTGGGGATGCTGAGTGTGTTCCCAGGCAGTAGCTTCACGGAAGCCTGGCCCCTCCCCAGAACTTTGCATCCATTTTTATAATGCGTGCTCCTTTACTATCTGCACTGACAGGCGGGGGAGCCACTGCCTCATGGAATCCTGGTTTTCTCACTGGTGTCAAAATCAATGCTTCCTTCACAACACAGAATCAGTTTGGATTCCATCTCAAGTATGATGTAATTTAACAAATATTAGCTACTTCTTCCTCCTCAAAATTTTCTTTATGGTTCACATGTGACATGTTTGGGGTCAAATATCTTTTTTTTTTTCTTGGTTTTGAGTCAGAGTCTCAGTTTTCAGCCCAGCCTGGCTTCAAACTTATGAATCTCCTGCCTCAGGTTCCCAAGTGCAGATTGCAGGGAAGCATCGTCCCTAATATGTACTGTTGCCAGTGTGGGCTCAGCTCACAGCAGCTGAGCTTTCAGGGATCCTGTTAGAGATGTAATCAGTCCATGTGCCTAGGAGCTCTTAGCAGCCTAACTTCTGGGATCCAGAAGGAGATGGCAAGCATGCAGTATTCTTTGGTTTGGGGAAGGGCTTTCTTGTTTCTTAACACAGCATCAAAATAAGCTATTCTTCAGTATTTTCCAGATTCATTTTCTTTAGGAAAATATTCTAGGTCTGTTCTTTCTTTTTATTTATTTCTCTCTGTGTGTGTATATATGTAGGGGCATGGACACATGAGTGAAGGTGCCCAGAGTGGAACTGGAGTTACAGGCAGTTGTGAGCTGCCTAATGTGGGTGCTGGGAACCAAAGTAGATCCTTTCTATGCCATCTCTCCAGCCCTCTACTTAATAATTTTCTAGAGAAACAGAAACACAAAGTATCATAAAGATAACCCAACATGGAAGTTAAATGATATTTAATGCATTGAAACCAAGAAAGGCTGAAAAAATGACTCCAGTGTGCATGATCAATGGTATTGATATTAATGATGACTATGAGTCTGGAAATAGCATTGGTAACTGTACTGTATTCCCTATTACATGCTTGGCACTTCACACATACACTATCTATCCACAAAGCATGGGATCACAACTGTGTAACTATGGTAGAGCAATGCCGTGGGAACCAGAAGCTCAGGTAGTGATGTAATTTCAAGATAACCGATGATATTTCTGCTTACATCCAGACAGCGCTCTACCCCTGAGCTGTGTCCCAGCACCTGGCCATATTTAGGAAAGGTGAGCCATGCTTCACATTCCTGTTTGCCTTGAGTTCTCATTGTGTCTGTAGTGACCCATGGTGAGCCCAGTCCTTCTCAAAGCTCAGTCAATGGATGTGGGTGGGGCCCAGAAGTCTGAATCACTGTGGAGCTCCAGGTTGCAATCACCCTGAAGATAACACTGGGCAGCAAGGGTTGAGGAGAATGGGTTGGCGTTTTGTGTGTATGACTTTGATGAAGCTACATAAACTTTCTAGAGCTCAGTGTTTTCAACTCTCCTTGGTTTCAGACAAATTATTTAAGACCTTTCTTGGTTCAATTATCTTGGCATTCAGTACACTGAAGAATGAATCTAAGAATATGGTTGGTCCTTACAGTCTGGGTTTATAAGAAAAGGCCTAGGAATTGGGCTTTTCTGAAATCCCCGAGTCAATGATAGAGAGGGGGGGGGGCGGACACACACACACACACACACACACACACACACACACACACACACACACAGAGAAAGAAGCCACAGAAGTTAGTCACCAGTGGGGATGCAGAGGTCTCTCTTGGTCTCCTAGGATAATGGAGGGATGTGATGATCCATCTGGATATATTTCTCCGCAGCTGTAGGAAGGGGAGAAAGTGAATCTAGGCTTCATGTGGTACACCTGCAACCCCAGAACTTGAGCAATAGAGGCAGAAGGATTAAGAGTGTAAAGTTGTTCCCTGGAAGGCATGACAGAACATGGACTAAACCCATTCTTTATCTAGGTGACCTCCAGGAGATCAGGGTGATTTGGTGTGAGTTAAATGTGTTACATTGTAAGAATAAGATTGACTTGAACTTTGAAGATTATTTCAGGGTAGATTTGTAGATGCTTGTGTCTGCTCTAGTTATCCCCCAAAGGGTTGGGAGTGTAGGAGAGACAGAAAGATAAGCTGTCCAGTTTGAGGATGGGTAGAGAGGTAAGCTAGTCAATGCTGCCATCCTATCACCTATTGGCCACACTTGATAGACACACCTCGGAAATCCCAGGTGCTCCGAAATAATTCAAAGTGAAGAGGTGCTTTTCTGACCAGGGGTCAATAAAAGGCACATTGGCTCTGTTGTTTTAAGTTGATGCAGAAAGAGGAAATGAAAGACGTGTGTGTGTATTCTAATTAATAGTCTGAAAACAGTCGGAAAGGACTTGTATCTACTGAGGTTATTCCAATAAGCAGATTCTTCTATCACTGTTTTCCTTCATGAAGACAAATCATTATTTAAAACCTTCTAAGTTCACCATTAATTAAAATGAGCAGCATTTCTGGTTTTTAAAGGCCACAGTATTTTCAGGCTTCCAAAGAAAATGCCTGCCTGGAATTTGTCAGTAGGAGCTGGCTGAAGGTTCACTGCAATTTGTAGACAGCCCTCTTAACCCTTTGGTTCAGGAGTTCAACTCTCCCTTCTGAGGCATTTGTTTCCTTTGAGTTTTCATCAGTCAAGAGACAGAGAGCATAAATGTTTGCAGTTTTGAATCCCATGTGAAGCGGCTGTTCTAGACTGTGGGCCATTGTACTGTTGAGTGGTGCAGAGACTGGGGTGGGGGTGGGGCATCTGCAGAGCACTGATTCACAGCTGCAGGTGAGTTGAGTGTGGATTAAAACCCACAGACCTGAGAGACCTGCTTCTGGAGAGGGAGGCGATGGCTCAGTCAGGAAAGTGTTTGCCCTGTGACCTGAACTTAATCTCCAGTATTCCTACAAAATTCAGGCATGGTGGAGGAGGTTTGTAATCCCAGCACTGGGGAGGGGAGAGGCTTATCCCTGGGATTTGCTGATCTGCTTGGCAAACAAGAGGCCCTAGCTTAGAAAACGAGGTGGACGGTTCCAGAGGGTGGCACCTACAGCTGACCTCTGGTCTTACATGCAAGCACATGCGTCTGCATACAAAGACACCTTTCTCGGCCTTCAAAGAAAGCAGGGAGTCAGCAAGAGTGGGGTGCTTTCCTTGTCTCAGGAATGTATTGATGGCCCTTTCCATGTCCAAGCCCACCTCACTGTCGCTGTCTCCTCGATTTAGCTGCCGCCATTCCCTGTTACTACTAGGTGGCCACCCCAGATGTCCCCTTGTATGGAGCTTTCTCCGATGGCCCTGAGCAGCTTCTTTGTCTCCACTCCCCTGACTAAGCAAGGCATGATGATCCTGTCTGCATGTGTTCCCTCTTCCCTGCTAGATAGGGTGTCACCATCGGCAGTGCAGGTCTGTGTCCGACATGCCAAGTGCACAGTTGGCAGGAAATGGCTGTGCTCTGACAGTGTAAGAGACCATCAGAAATGTGATGGTTGCCTTGGCTGTGGCTGCATGTTCTGACAAAGACAGCTGGCATCTCCTCTATCCAACCAGCTTAGTGTTTTCTGCATCTTCCAAGTTTTTATTTGTTTGTTTGAGACAATTACTAGCCTTGGACTAGCTATGTAGCAGAAGATGACCTTGAACTTCTCATCCTTCTGCCCCTGTCTCCTGGGTGCTTGAATGACAGGTATGTGTCACTACAGTTGCCTTTTGGATACTGGGGATTATCATCTCAGGGCTTTATGAGTGCTAGGCAAGTACTTTATCAGTTGCGCTGCAACCAGCCCTGTGATCATCTACACTTTGCTTCTCTTCCCTTCTAACTGCTATATTTCTGTTCTGTTCTCATTAACTTAGATAGAAAGTTTAGATTGCTGACTGAGTTTTTCATTCAATATGGAACTTTTAGAAAAGGAAGCATGGCCTAAGAAGAAGAAGATGAACATGAACAGCAGATGGTCCAGCTGTTTGTGTGCCTCTTGGCATCATCGTCTACCAACTGTGTGACTTTGTGCAAGCCAATTAACAGCTCTGAGTTTTGGTGTAAATACGGAAGGAAAAATTCTCGCCACCTGGTGGTTTGGAAGATAAAGTAAGCGATATATGCAAGAGGGCCTCAAGTATATTTCCATGTGATAGGCATTTACTAAGCATCACTTTCCATCATTTTATCTCCCCACTATTAAATACAAAAACAAAAGGAAGGACAGAAGAAAAAAAAATCTAATTAAGCTGCTTTGTACCTGAACAAGAGTGAATCGATTCTTTCCTGTCCTATGGGGCTGGTGGCAGTCAGAACTATTGAGATGGTAAAATCAAAATACTTCTTCATTAGCATTAGGGTCTGGTATTTGTCCTGAGCAAGAGGACTGAGAATGCAGAGCCACTGAGTATGGTTGTGTGCTGGAGACATCTAGAATTATTGAAAAATTCTGGGGCTGCAGACTGGAGAGACAGCTTGGCACGTCAGAGTACTTATTAAACTTTCAGAGGACCTGGGGTCAGTTCTCAGCACTCACATTATGTTGTTCACAATCACCAGATGCCCTCTGTCCCCCTAGGACACCCACTGCACTCAGTGAACACAAACTCACTCAGGTACATACACATGCAACACAAATATAAATAAATAAATCTTTAAAAAATTGAGAGCTTTGTCTTTCAGGCCCATCCAACCTTTTGACATTGTCAAAAATTCAACCTGTCATTGTCACCTATAGTGTTCACACTGAAGGACCATATAACTGAGTCACACAACAACACACATGCACAATAATCTCACAATAGTTTAGCTGAGTTATGATTCCCCATTGGGCCACCCTCATAGCTATCCCGGGATGCACATGCCATGTGGGCTGCATGTTGGACATGATTTCTTGGGAGGGGAAC